GCCCCCGCAGCCCCGCCCCCTCCAGGGCCCCGCCCCGCCCGACAGCCACGCCCCTGTGCCACGCCCCCTCCAGGCCCCCGCCCCCATAGCCCCGCCTCTCCCGGCAGCCCCGCCTCCTCCAGGGTCCCGCCCCCGCCGAGCAGCCCCGCCCCTCCAGGGCCCCGCCCGCAGCCCCGCCCACCTTGAGCGAGGCCAGGTGCGCCACGTCCGGGCTGAGCTCCAGCAGGCGGTTGTCGGCGGCCGCCAGCTCGCTGAGCAGCGGCAGCGCGCCGGGGACGAAGAGCGCGGCGGGGAGGCGGTGCAGGAGGTTGCCGGCGAGGTTGAGGACCTGCAGGCGCGGCGCGCAGCGCGCCAGGTCGGCGGGCAGCTCGCGCAGCCGGTTCCCGCTGAGGTTGAGGCTCTGCAGCTGCGGGAGGCCCGGCGGCTCGGCGGGGCCCAGGCCCTGGCCCGGCGGCAGCGCCTCCAGCGCGTTGCCCGACAGGTCGAGCACCCGCAGGGCGGGCAGCGGCCCCAGCTCGGGGCTCAGGCCGGGCCCCAGCGCGTTGCGCCGCAGCACGAGGCTCTGCAGCCGCGGCAGGCCCTGCGCCAGGCCCGGGCCCGGCTCGCGCAGGCTCCCGCAGCCGCTCACCTCCAGGTAGTGCAGCAGCGGCAGCGTGAAGAGCCGCGGCGGCAGCCGCCCGCCCGCCGCGCGCACGCGCGCCTCCAGCCCGGGCCCCGTCAGCAGCAGCTCCCGCCGCCGCTCCCGCTCCGCCAGCTCCAGCTCGGGCCAGGCCTCGGGGACGGCCGCCGCCGCCGCCGCCATCGCGCCGCCGCCCGCCGCTTCCGGGCGGGAGCGTCACTTCCGGTCCGCGCCGGAAGTGGCCCTGGGGCGCCGGAAGTGGCCCTGGGCGCCGGCGCCTTCGGGGCGGGCTCCGGGGAGCGCGGCGCTGTCCGGTGGGTGTCCGGCGGGTGTCCGGCTAGAGGCTGACCCGCGTGTGCGGGCGCGGGCGGGTCCTGCTGCCCGCTGGGCTCTGCCCTGGGCCCGGCCCCGGTGCTGGCGCGAACGCAGAGGGGCGTCCCGTGCGGGCGCCGGTTCGAGTCCCCGCTGCTCCACTTCCCGTCCAGCCCCCTGCTGATGGCCTGGGCGGGCAGTGGAGGAGGGGAGACCCCGCCCGGCCCAGCCCCGGTGGTCGCGGCCATCTGGGGAGTGAAACACTGGAGGGAGGACCTTTGTCTCTCCCTCTGAAACTCTCTCAAGTCTTTTAAAAAAAGGAAAATCGGCAAGAGGCAACCGTGCAGCCCAGATGGAGGCTTGGGCGGGGGCGGCGGTTGTGCCGGAACCCGCTGGCCGCTGGCCGCCTGGTGGCCGGGTTGCCCCTGCACACGGCCCTTGTCTGCACCCCTCTCTCATGTTTTAAAGATTTGAGAGGGAGAGACAGACTTCCGTCTGCTGGTTCACTCCACAGATGGCTGCGGGTCAGAGCTGGGCCGGTGAACCTCGCCCGGGAGCGGAATCCCAATAAAAGCTTGTGAATGAACTCATTCATCTGGCTGGGAAGATTTTGTTAGGCGCCAGACACCTTGCAGGGCCCATCAGGAGCCAGGTGCTTCCTCCGTGTCTCCCACGTGGGTGCAGGACCCACGTGCTTGGGCCATCCTCCACTGCCCTCCCGGGCCACAGCAGAGAGCTGGATCGCAAGTGGAGCAGCCGGGACTCGGAACAGATGCCCTTATGGGATGCCGGCTTTACCTGCTACGCCGCAGCGCCGCCCGACTGGCACATTTTTAGAACTGAATTACGGGCAGGCGCCGCGGCTCACTAGGCTAATCCTCCGCCTTGCGGCGCCGGCACACCAGGTTCTAGTCCCGGTCGGGGCGCCGGATTCTGTCCCGGTTGCCCCTCTTCCAGGCCAGCTCTCTGCTGTGGCCCGGGAGGGCAGTGGAGGATGGCCCAGGTGCTTGGGCCCTGCACCCCATGGGAGACCAGGAGAAGCACCTGGCTCCTGCCATCGGATCAGCGCAGTGCGCCATTGGAGGGTGAACCAATGGAAGGAAGACCTTTCTCTCTGTCTCTCTCACTGTCCACTCTGCCTGTCAAAAAAAGAAAAAAGAAAAAAACTGAATTACGGCTGGTGGTCGGCAGATGGCCCCCAGGGTCGCCGAGCCAACCGCAAAACCGTCCCGGTGGAGGCGCGAGAGCTGCTCAGGGAGCTTGCGGTGAGCTCACAGACTGCTGCGCCGGCCGTCACCGGAGCCAGCCGTGGTCCCCGGAGACTGACCGAGCGGGCAGTGGGCTGGGCCCCGGACGTGACCAGCAGCTCTGCAGTGGGGCTCCAGACGGCATCCCGGCTCTGCTGATCCAGCCCCCTGCCAGGACGCGTGGGAGGGAGCAGACGGCCCAAGCCCTCGGTCTCTGCCACTCACGGGGGCCTGGACGGAGGTCCTGGCTCCGGGCTTTGGCCCGGCGCAGCTCCGGCTGCTGTGCCATTTGGGGAGAGAACCAGTAGGTAGAAGACCTCTCCCTCTCCCTCTCCCTCTGTAACTCTACCTCTCAAATAAAATGAAAATCTTCTTTAAAAATGTACTTGTTTGAGAGAGAGGAGACGGCTTCCTTCCCCTGGTTCATTCCCCAAGCCTGAACAGTCAGGACTGAGCCAGGCCAGGGCTGAAGCCGCGGGCCAGGAGCCCAGGGACCCCGTTACTTGAGCCTCCCGCTGCTGTCTCCCAGGGGGTGCACCAGCGGGAAGCAGGGTCAGGAGCTGGAGCCAGTTCTCAGGCCAAGGGCCCTGATGCGGGACGGGGCCGTTAGCCGGCGTCTGCCACACGCGCTGTGCGGATGTGGTTTATCTCTACCATTCACACTGCAGTGTTGGCTACACTTGATTTCTTTTTTAAAGCTTTATTTATTTATCTGAGAGAGAGAGAGTGAGCGAGCTGACAGCGGAGTCCGGGCCGGCCCACGTTCCCTCGCAGCAGGAGTGTCCAGGGAGGGAAGGAGCTGCCTGGGAGGGAGACCTGCACACACCCCTCCATCCCTGCGTGGCCTTAGGAACCAGCGTGGATGTCGGGGTCCGCATTCGCCTTTGGGGCGGGGTCCCCTGCTCTGGGAGGTGTCGGGGGCGCAGGCTGCAGCCGGGGCCTGGGAATCCGGGGCTTTAGGACGGGACTCTCGCCCCCGGCAGCCGTCGGGGCCTGGTGGGCAGCGTTCCCTTCAGAGCCAGCACGGAGGCCATGCTGCATCCACACCCAGGTCCCGCAGATGTGGGGAGGAGGTCAGGGTCAGGGCTGCAGGGGCGGGGCCAGGTGGGGTGCAGGCCGTTCCCGCCCGTCCTCCCACCCCCGCCCACCCTCTCCCGCCCACACCCCAACGCCCCAAACAGTGGTCCCTTGGGGCTCCTTGCCCCTGGTGGGGACAGTCCTGGACCCTGAGCTGGGGAGGGTGCCCACAGGCAGGACACCTGCTGGAGTCCCTGCAGCTGGCAGAGGGATGGCAGGAAGCTCTGCTGCGGGTCACGCAGCCATGAGGGTGGGTGTTCAGGTCCCTGGAACCAGGCGTCCTTCCCTGTGCGTGGACACTGCCAGAGGCTGACCTCATGCCCTTCTGCTTCAGGGGGACACGCGCTCCGCTCTCCTCTCCCCTCCCCGGCCTGCAAGGCTCCCGGGAGCCCGGGGTCCTGGTCCCTCCTGTGGCCCAGGCACAGGGGAGCCCAAGGGGGGAGTTCTGGGGCTGCCTGTCCCCTGCCCACTGCTGGCTCTGCGGGGCTCGCCCCGCCCTGGAGAAGGCGAGGGGCCCCTCCCCGGAGCACGCGAGGAAGCCGGGCAGGGCCCCGCTGCTGTCACATGGTCCCTGACAGAGCCTTTGGGACCAGAACCCCCTCCATGGGGCCCCGCGGTGCCCCAGGTCCCTCTGCACCACGGCCTTTCATCCAGGGGCCCTGCTGGGCACTGCCACCTGCTAGCGGTGTGGACGTGGGTGCCCGAGCCCAACCCTGGTCGCAGGCTCGCTGGGGGCTCCTGGTGAGCAGGCTCGCAGGGCTGTGTGGGCTGACTCGCTCCTGCCCCCGGACACGGCCCTGCGCCCTCAGCCGGGGCCTCGCCCGCGTTCCAGCTCGCTCTGCCCCCCTTCCAGGGGGCACACAGGCCAGCTCCCTCCTCTCTGCACACGCCAGCCTCCCTCCTCTGCACACACCAGTCTCTTACAGCAACCGTGTAACTCTGTGTCGTTTTAAGGTTGATGTTTGTATAAAGGAAGACAGAACTTCAAACTAGAAACAGTTACGAAATCACCATCAAAGTGGATACAAGCTGAAAAACCTCCCCCGGCTGCATTTGTACTTACTTTTTTTTTTTTTTTGACAGGCAGAGTTAGTGAGAGAGACAGAGAGAAAGATCTTCCTTCCGTTGGTTCACCCTCCAATGGCCGCCGCGGCCGGCGCACCGCGCTCATCCGAAGCCAGGAGCCAGGTGCTTCTCCTGGTCTCCCATGGGGTGCAGGGCCCAAGCACCTGGGCCATCCTCCACTGCACTCCCTGGCCACAGCAGAGGGCTGGCCTGGAAGAGGGGCAACCGGGACAGAATCCGGCGCCCCGACCGGGACTAGAGCAGAACAGCTTTGGTGCCCAGGACAGATGCCCACTCTCGACGTGGGCAGACCCCAAGGCCGCTGGACGCAGCCGGCTCTGACCTCACCGCACAGGGTGCAACTGGTCAGTGTTGGACCCCAAAGGCAGCTCCGGCCGTCTGGCCCCTCCGGCAGTGACCCCAGGACAGTAGCTCCCCCGGGGGAGCCGGCCAGCTTCACCCGTCTGTGCCGAGCAACCTCCAAGGAGCCCAGGGCTGAGCCACACACACGCGCGTCGCCCGAAGTGGTGGCCTCAGGACAGCCGTGAAAGGAACCTGAGCGAACGGCGACCCTTTTGTCACATTAGGAAGTGCCAGGCGCTGCGTCCTGCCCTCGCACACACACTCGACTCGCACCCTGACAGTTCTGGCACCTGAAATGTGCGACACAGGAAACTATGTCAAACGGCAAGAAGCTGCAGATCTTCATTAAAAGTACTTACGTGGGTGTTCTAATGCCAAATGTATAGAAACAATTTTCTTCAGTTATTTAATAGCATATCTCAGAACGTGAAACAGAACTCAGTATAAATACCCGCAACACGTCCGTGAGTGCACTCAGTGCTTACGGGGGGGTTCCAGCCTCGGCACCGGCTCCCCCGAGCGCCTGCGCGGTTTCTGCCCGGCTACTCCTGAAGCTCGGTGCCGCCGCCGCTGGCCGCCCCTCGAGGAGGCGCGCGTCACGGGGCCGTCTGGCTCCCGCTCCCTGGAACGCACGCAGCCTCCTGGACATCCTCCCCACCACGGACGCACGACGTCACGACGTCACGCAGCGTTTCTAGCTTTGACCGGAGAGAAGGAGCCAGGCCCAGCTGGGTTTCTCGGTGCTGTTTTATTTGGTCAGCGTTCCGGGAGCCGCGGCCAGGGCAGCGAGGGGAGCGGGCGCCCGCCCGGGGGTCTCGCCAGTTTGCTGGGCGGCACTTGTCAAGGTTACTCTCTTGTTGGTGTTAGTAGCTGAGACGCCCACGCTGGAAGGTATGAGCTCACCCCGCCGGGGTCGCCGGCAGGTCCGGGACCCACACTGCTGCTGGTTCCTGCGCTTCGTGGGTTTCACCCGGTGGGGATCGAGACACAAGGGCCACCAAGCCCACACACCCCCGCGGGACGCTTGGGAAGGAAGTGTGAGTCCCAGCCAGGGGTGCAGCTGGCTGGGGGGACACGGCCAGTCCCTGTAGGCTGCACACAGGCCCTGCCCCGTCCCAGGGGACCAGGCGTCTGCCTGAAGTTCCCGGAAGTAGGACGACTGGTTGAGGCGGCTTCCTGAGGTTTGCTTTCAGCAGCGTCGGTCACGTGGAGTGAGCGCTGGGGGCTGTGGAAGGCACCAGGCGACCCCGGGCCCGGCGGGGCGCTGTCCGCTGAGGGTCGAGCAGATGTGGGCGCTCGCGTGCGGTCACTCCACGGCTGGCTCTTGGGAATCCACTAGGGCAGAGTTTGCAGCATCCTGAGCAGGGGCAGAACCTGGACCACCTGGCAGTGGACTCTGCTGGGCGGGGCAGGGCGTGTGGAGGCGGGGCTTGTGGAGGCGGGGCCAGCTCGCAGTAACCCTTGCTGCTTTTTTTTTTTTTTTTTTTAACAATTTCCTTTTTACCTTAATTTATGTTACAGGGGAAACCCAAGTTCCGTGGAGCTGAGCGAGCCCTGCTCCCCGTCGGCAGACAGACCTGCCGGGGAGAAGGCGGCGGGCGTCTGTCCTGGGCCGGCAGCCTGCTGAGCCAGGTCCCGCGCAGTCTGCAGCCTGTGTGGAGGCCGGCTGCGCGAGGCTTGCGGTGACTTTTTATGGAAACCACGCCACGTGGTCAGACAAGAGGACCCGGGCTGAGCCCGTCCTGTGCAGTGGTCCCTGGCTGGCCCCACGCAGAACGGCGCCTCCCTCTTGTCGTGGCGGCTGGCACGGCGGGGCCCTGAGGCTGCGCGGGGTTCTTTGGTCGGATCCACACACGTCACTGACGTGCAGCTGACGCTGTGCACGTGGGGCCCGGGCGGGGCTGAAGGCCAGGGGCAGTGCGGACAGAGCCTGGTTGCCAGGTCCATGGGAGTTTTTGGAGGACAGGGTTAGAATCAGGAAGCGACGGGACAGAGCGTGAGTTGGGTCACCGCTTTGCACGGGTCCTGGTGGAGCCCTTACTCAGGCCTCCCCTGGGGGTGGGGATCTTGCTTCCGGCCTTCAGTCCTGGGGCCCCGGCCTTGGCCACGGCTGGGCCTTTACCTGCAGTGGGGACACAGAAGACACAGGGGCTGCCTCAGGAGACGGCTCTCACGCATGGGCTGGAGCGAACCCCGGGGAGGGCAGCGTGACTGGCCGGGGGCAGCCAGACACAGGGCGAGCCTGAGCAGTCAGCACGGTGCACAGTGGTCCCTCGGCCCAGAGCTGGCCAGGCGGACCGTGGCCAATGTGAGCTGTGTTGGCTATGGGTGAAGGTGACAGGTGGTGCCCAGGGAGAGGACCCCGACACAGCACAGAGGCCCCAGGGGGGAGTTGTCCACCCTGGCACTGGCTGCACCCTCAGGCCCCACAGGTGCACGGGCCGGCTGCACGACCGTTCCCTCCTTCACGATGGAGGTGGGGGCAGACGACACCCTGTCCCCTCGTGCAGCACAGCCTGAGCCCCCAACACAGCATGTGGGCACTGCTGCTGACGCGGAGCTGTGCATGGGGCCGGCAGGGCGGGAACAACTGGCCGAGAGATGCTGGGCCTCCTCACTGGGCATCCTGCCTCCACCACGGAACGGCTGGAGCGGTGACCGCTAGGGCAGGGCTGGCAGGACCTCAGCTGCCCACTAGCGTCACGTGTCAGCGCTCCGAGAAAGCACCGAGGACCGGTCTGCATCCCGCGATGGCCCCGCGGGTCTGGCCGGTTACCCTGAGTTGACAGCACCGGGAACAGCAGCCATGGCGTGGCAACGTGGGGAGTCGTGGTCACACCACAGCTCATCCCAGGGAGCAGAGGAAGCCACACAGAGGGCCGGAGACCCTGGGAGCCGGCGCGGGCCCTCACCTGGCTGCAGCGCCTGGGCCTTGTGCAGGATGTGCGTCTTGCGCAGGTTCATGGTGCAGCCAGAAGGGCCCATGAGGTGAGCTTTCCACGCCTGCAACAGAACGGGGGCACGCGGCGTTAGGCGGCTGAGAGGGCCGGGGACCTGGGCTTACTGCCCACGATGACCACGGGAGGCGGCCACACCGCAGAGGTGCTGCGGAGCAGCCTGGGGGCCCGCGTGTGCCCCTTGGGTTGTTCGGGCCGTCAGACACCCTTGGGAGGCACCTGGCGGTCACCTCGCAAGCCCACAGCTCAGTCCCAACACACAGACTGGGCTGTGCTCGTGCGGCGTGGGGTCCTCGCCCAGGTGCCCGTGGACAGGCCGTTAAGGTGCACAGCTGGGGGCCGGCATGTGGCACGGGGGTTAAGCCGCCACCTGCCCTGCCAGTATGCCACAGACACCAGTTCCAGTCCTGGCTGCTCCACCTCTGACCAGGCTCCCTGTTAGATGGCCTGCGTGCTTTGGCCCCTGCCATCCTGTGGGAGAACCAGAGGGAGGTCCGGGCTCCTGGTTTCAGCCTGGCCCACTTGGGGAGTGACCCAGCGGGTGGAAGATCTGTCTCTCCCTCTCTCTAATCCCGTCTTTCAAACAAGTAAGTGCACATTGAAAGAAAAGGTGCATAGCGGGCCGCCTCGGGGGACGCCGCAGGCCCCGTGGGCTCCTCCTCCAGCACATTCCCCTCAGCTGCCCAGGGGTGCGCCCAGCCACACGGCCCTGGAGCCCACGCCGCCCACACAGGCCCGACTTTGACGCTGACACAGAGGAACGGGGGTGTCGATGTCCCTGTGCTGCCCTCCAGGGGATGGTCAGGGGACGGTTGGGGAGACAGCTGGAGGAGGGGGACGGTTGGGGGACAGTCAGGGGGACGGTCAGGGGGACGGCAGGGGAGACAGTCTGGGGACAGTGGGGGATGGCTGGGGAGACAGTCGGGGGACGGACACGGTCGGGGGACAGCTGGGCGATGGTCGGGGAGACGGTCGGGGGACGGGGACGATGGGGGATGGTCGGGGGCTGGTTGGGGAGACGGCTGCACTGGAGCGTGGCGCTCACCACCCTCCTGCTGTGCGTGCAGCCGCTCCTCCCAGCCCGCAGAGGCACTGGCACCGGCACCCTCTCTACTGGACCCGCCTCTCACGACCACTGTGCTGCCGCTTCCGGCTGTCCAGCCTGGTCCCCTCAAGCCTGCACTTGAGCAGGCTCCGTCAGGCCTGGCCCTGGGCTCTCCAGGTCTCGCCGGACAGCTTCAGGCTGCTGAAGCGAGCGGCCCTCTCGTGGCCCCGGGGCACCTGCTCACCCCTGCTGGTCACCATCTGCTGGCGCCGGGTGACGCTGGTGCTCTGGCCTGTGGGCGGCAGTGACGCCCTGCGAGAGGCAGGCGGAGAGGCACTCACACACCGGGTCTGTCTGCCACGACCACGGGATGCTGCACCCTGCTAGCCTGCTGGGGTCAGGGGTCAGGGGTCGGGCCAGGGGCGTGGGGAGCTGGCTGAGGGGCCTCAGCGGCCTCCAAGGCCATCCCAGACCCGTGGACACGTATGAGCCCACCAAGGCCAGCAGAGCCACCGGCCAGCTGGGCAGCCAGGGGTCCCGTGGGCGCTGTGCTCGCGTGGGTGCCGGCTGGGCACGCGGCACGGAGAACACATGGGGAGAGCAGACGCGCGATGCTGTGAGCGTGCCGACCGCCTCGGAGCTGCCTGTTTGTCTCAGAGTGACACAGGAGGAGACGCAGACAGACAGAGACCGCCCGTCCAGAGCCAGGTGGATTCTGGGCAGAGAGGAAGGGCTGAGGGGCAGAACGGCCGCCTTCCCTGTTCTGACTGCTGGTGAGGACGCTGCAGAGGCCTGCCGGGCTGGGCACCTGCTGTGGCACAGCCCACGGGGCTGGGCCAAGGACAGTGGAGCCGCAGGACACAGCAGTGGACTGTGGAGGGCAGCAGCCAGGGAAGCGGCTGGGCCAGACAAAGGCCTCCACAGCTGGGCCCTGGGGCTTGGCATTTGCTGCCTGGCACAGAGGGCAGCACCAGCCATGTCAGAGCCGTGGACGTCCCCGCCCCCCCTGCCTGCAGCGCCCCAAGGGCAGAGCACGTGGGCACGGAGAGGCGGGCAGGGAGAGCTGAGCTCACGTGTGGCCGCGGGGCAGCAGTGGCCACGCAGGAGGCAGAGATGTTGGACCGGGCTGGGCCCAGACGTCCCGGAGCGCCTCACCGGGAAGTGGGAGCAGCGGCCAGGCAAGGTGGAGCTCAGATTCAGGCGCCTCCACCCCGACCACGGCCCGCGGACCTGCGGCTGGCTGACGGCGGCGGCGCTGCCAGCCCGAGGTGTGTCGGCTACGTCCTCGGGGCTCCCTGTCCCGACAGCCCCTCACCTCCTCTCCAGGCGTGAAATTCTCATGGCACAGAGGACACCGGTTTGCCAGCTTCTCTGACTTGGCGGCTGAAATGAGTCCAGCAGAACACGAGTTAGGGGCCCCGTGGACCTGGCCGGGGGCGAGGAGGGCCGCGCACAGACCCCCCCAGGGGACGGGCGGGGAGCGGGCACTCACGGTTGCAGTCCTTTGCCTCGATGTGTCTGGGCAGCTCCTCCTTAGAGACGGCCTCGCGGCAGCGGCAGCACTTGCCAAAATCGTCCTTCCTGTCACACTCGGTCAGCAGGTGCTCCGTCAGGCTGCACACCTCCACCACCTTGACTCCCAACACAGAACAAAGCCCACCGCTCAGGACGCCCGTGCAGGGGTCAGGATGGCCATGGAGAGTGATCTGTGCCCTGTTCCCTGTCCTGCAGGGGTCAGCACGCCATGGAGAGTGATCTGTGCCCTGCTCCCTGTCCTGCAGGGGTCAGCACGGCCACGGAGAGTGATCTGTGCCCTGCTCCCTGTCCTGCAGGGGTCAGCACGCCATGGAGAGTGATCTGTGCCCTGCTCCCTGTCCTGCAGGGGTCAGCACGCCATGGAGAGTGATCTGTGCCCTGCTCCCTGTCCTGCAGGGGTCAGCACGGCCACGGAGAGAGATCTGTGCCCTGCTCCCTGTCCTGCAGGGGTCAGCACGGCCACGGAGAGAGATCTGTGCCCCTGCTCCCTGTCCTGCAGGGGTCAGGATGGCCATGGAGAGAGATCTGTGCCCTGCTCCCTGTCCTGCAGGGGTCAGCACGGCCACGGAGAGTGATCTGTGCCCTGCTCCCTGTCCTGCAGGGGTCGGCACGGCCACAGAGAGAGATCTGTGCCCTGCTCCCTGTCCTGCAGGGGTCGGCACGGCCACGGAGAGTGATCTGTGCCCTGCTCCCTGTCCTGCAGGGGTCGGCACGGCCACGGAGAGTGATCCGTGCCCTGCTCCCTGTCCTGCAGGGGTCGGCACGGCCACGGAGAGTGATCCGTGCCCTGCTCCCTGTCCTGCAGGGGTCGGCACGGCCACGGAGAGTGATCTGTGCCCTGCTCCCTGTCCTGCAGGGGTCGGCACGGCCACGGAGAGTGATCCGTGCCCTGCTCCCTGTCCTGCAGGGGTCAGCACGGCCACGGAGAGTGATCTGTGCCCTGCTCCCTGTCCTGCAGGGGTCGGCACGGCCACAGAGAGAGATCTGTGCCCTGCTCCCTGTCCTGCAGGGGTCAGCACGGCCACAGAGAGTGATCCGTGCCCTGCTCCCTGTCCTGCAGGGGTCAGCACGGCCACAGAGAGTGATCCGTGCCCTGCTCCCTGTCCTGCAGGGGTCAGCACGCCATGGAGAGTGATCTGTGCCCTGCTCCCTGTCCTGCAGGGGTCAGCACGGCCTCTCTGGGCCACGGGCACCGGGGTGAGGAACATCCCGGGTGCGCGCCCGCAGACAAGGCGCTGACCCTGCTTTCTTCTCCGCGTGTTACTCTAGCATCACACAGAGGTCACTGCCACGGTGGGGCAGGGGGCTGCAGCCGACTCCGGTGTGATACCTGCATCGGCAGAGTAGCTCAGTGGTGCAGTGCATGGCCCTGGGTTCAAGTCCCTGCCCACTCCTACTGCTGAGGATGCGTGCTGAGATTCTCTTCCCGCGCTGTCTGCCCTGACACCGAGTGCCTGAGGCCTCGCCCCTGGGGCTCCGTCGTCCTGCTCAGAGGGAGGGCGTGAGAGAGGCCCCGGTGAGGCACACAGGTCCACGCTCCTTCCTGCTGCTTCTCAAGGAAGGCCACTGCCCGGGGCAGGAGACTAAGTTCTCAAACCAGACGCAAAAAGCTGGAGCCACAGGCGAGACGGGCGGGGTGGAAGCCTTCGTGCATCGAAGACCCCTGAGGGCAAGGGCCCAGCAAGACACAGCATGGCAGGGGCCCGTCCGAGGGAGAAAGGGCACCCACAAGTCAGCACAAGAGGGGGACAGCGCCACACAGGCGGGCAAGAGACCCGAAGGGGTCTTCCCGAGGGGGCGGGGTGGACACGCCCTAGTCAGGAGGGGCTGGGATGAAGGCAGCTCCCACCGCCCTGAACCAGCGTCCATGCCACAGCCAGACGTGCCCCGTGGGTGCCCGGAACTGAGCAGCAGTGAGACTGCACCAGGGCCCCGAGCAGATGGCGGAGCGATGCTGGCCTGAGGGGCATGGTGATTCCGCGCCGCGTGAGCCCATCTGTACACGGCCCCAAAGCAGGGCACGTGGACGGGCGGCGTGGGAAGTCAGGGAGTGGGCACTTCCTGCAGGCAGCGGCGGCGCGGCATGGCTGTCCCTGCGCGGGCGGCCCCCCCGGCTGTCCCTGCGTGGGCGGCCCCCCCTGGCTGTCCCTGCGCGGGCGCCCCCCCAGCCCCCAGCGGCGGCCCCCCGGCTGTCCCTGCGTGGGTGGCCACCCCCCCCCGGCTGTCCCTGTGTGGGTGGCTCCCCCTGGCTGTCCCTGTGTGGGCGGCCCCCCCGGCTGTCCCTGCGCGGGCACCCCCCCCCAGCCCCCAGCGGCGGCCCCCTGGCTGTCCCTGCGTGGGTGGCCACCCCCCCCGGCTGTCCCTGTGTGGGTGGCTCCCCCTGGCTGTCCCTGCGCGGGCGCCCCCCCCCAGCCCCCAGTGGTGGCCCCCCCGGCTGTCCCTGCGCGGGCGCCCCCCCCAGCCCAGCGGCGGCCGACCTGTCTGCAGTGGTCACATCGCGTGAGCATCAGGCAGTGTTTCCAGTAGTGCAGGTCCAGGCCCTCCTCCGTGAACGCGTCGCTGCGCTCCCCACAGAAGATGCACAGGCTGGAAGGACAGGCTCGCGTCCGCTCTCGGTCACGAGGAAGTCCTCGGCTTCCCCGCCTCCCAGCCGCCTCGGCAGGGTCGGTCACCCCAGGAGAGCGGCCGCCAGCTGACGACCCCTCGGGACACGTGGCGTCAGGAGAGGCGAGAGCAGGACGTCTCCCTGTCCTTGCCTCTGCACCGGGACGCGCGGGGCACTCTGCCCTAACGGCGGTGCCACCAGGCAGGCGGGGGGCGGCGGGGGGGGGGGCGGCTATCCTGACTCCGAGGCAATTCTCCCAGCTTTGAAAATTCCAGAGAAGAGCCAGGTAGCTTACACGCCCCTAGCGAACCCGGGAGGACCAGGTTCTCTCCAGTGTTCCCGTGTGGCCAGTCCCTCGGAGCAGCGCCCCGCGCACGGGTTCCTTGTCTGAGCCGTGGTCCCCTGGGCACCACACCTACAACTCACTTGTCCAAGTAGTGTCCCTCTGCAGCTTCCGGAGCAGCCGGCGGAGCCGCCCTCCTCTCCTGGGTGTCTGAAGGGAAGAGAGAAACAGGCTGGGGCCGGCGCTGCGGGTTACGATGCTGCCTGCGACGCCAGCACCCTGGCTGCTCCACTCTCTGTCCAGCTCCCTGCGAATGTGCCTGGGGAAGCCGCGGAAGATGCCCCAAGTGCCTGGGGCCCTGCCACCCCAGGTGGAAGACCCGCTGGAGCTCCGGGCTCGGGGCTCCGGCGTGGCCGGCTTGGCCCTGTCCCAGCCGTGCAGGCATTTGGGGAGTGAACTAGCGACGGAAGAGCCGTCACCCTGCTTTTCAAATAAACACTCTTTAAAAGCAGGAGTGAGCACCCCTTGCAGAAGCAGCTATGAGGCTGGGCAGCCGCCTGACGTGACCCACGCTTTAACTGCCGCGCGGCTGGAGGGACTGGTGAAGGCGGGCGGGCGGTGCCGTCTGGGCTTTCGGGACAGGCACTTACGCACCCTGTGGCCGTGGCTTCTCCGTGACGGCAGCGGTGCCCTCTTTCTCCTAAGACACAGAAACAGAGAGGGTCAGGGACAGCAGGCTGCAGCATGAGCCGGGGCCTCCAGGACACGCGGGCCTCTGAGGTGTGCTCCAGAGTGTTTTAGGGTTTCTGTTATCCACACGTCCTCCCCAGGCTCCCAGCCCTGAGGCTCCGCGGCTGTGGCGCCTGTCCAAGCTGCTGACCTCCACAGGTGACCGGCCTGCAGCACAGGCATCCACAGGACGCAGCCCGCGCTGGCCCAGGGCCAGGGTCGCGTCAGGAGTCGCGACAGCGTGCTCCGCGCCACGGCGGGAGGGCGGCCGGCACTCGGGGTCAGGGCTTCACGGAGAACGAGCTCAGGCCCCTGAGCGAGACCCTTCATCTGCCCCGTCAGTGTCTCCGTTCGTGTACTACTGGGAGCCACACAGGGCTCAAAGGCTGTGGCGGAACCGCCGCACGCGAGGGTGACCAGCTGGGGTCCGCTGCACGGGAGGGTGACAGCCAGGGTCCACAGCACGTGAAGGTGACAAGCCGGGGTCCACAGCACGTGAGGGTGACAGCCAGGGTCCACAGCACGTGAGGGTGACAGGGTCTGCTGCACGGGAGGGTGACAAGCCAGGGTCCACCGCACGTGAGGGTGACAGGCTGGGGTCCACTGCACGTGAGGGTGACAGGCTGGGGTCCACTGCACGTGAGGGTGACAGCCAGGGTCCGGTGCACGTGAGGGTGACAGCCAGGGTCTGCTGTGCGCCCGGCCGCTCCTCCGCCCGCCCGGCCGTTCCTCCGCCCGCCTGGCCGCTGCTCTCTGCCCTCCCGCGTGGTCGGTGCGCCCGCAGCAGAGGAAACGTCCCCGTGACGTCTGCCTCGGGAAGTTCTCATCCATTCGGCTTTCTCCTCATTCTTACCCATTTCTTGTTTTAAAAACTGGCACTGAGAAGGCTTCCCACGAGCTCCGCCTCCCCGGGGCTCTGTGCACCGCGGGCCCTGGGGGCCCAGCACCGCAAGGTGCACACCGCAGACTCAACGGCAACGTCTTTCCCTGCTTTTCCTTCTTTTGACCACTTTTTGTCAACGTAAGGAACTTAACCACGAAGCTGGTGCTGCGAAACCCTCTCAGTCCCAGAAGCAGGGCCCTAGAAGGGGCATGTCCTGTTCTGGCACGCACCTGCACCGCGGGGACCTCCCACAGGCCTCGGCGGTGGGGCGGGGCGGGGCGGGCCGCTTCCAGTATTCGCCCAAGGCCCTCGTAAGGCGTGGAACCAGGCCCGCACTCCAGGCCCAGGGCCACTGGGGCGCTCCGGAGGGAACTCTGCCCCTCTCCCCCCCCCCCCCCCCCCCCCCCCCCGCCCCACCAGCCCCCAGGCCTCCTGGCTCAGCTCAGCCTGCAGAGGAGAGCGCAGGGTCACTCAGCACCTAGGGCCAACCATCCCGGGGGCGCTCTTTCAGTTCCGCAAACTGATGAAGACCACAGGATGAATGAGGCCACCCCGTCGGGCGATCCCAGGAGGGAACCACAGCCCGGGCAGCCCTGGGCCGGCGTGAGCGCCAGCCAGCACCGCGTGAGCAGCTGCTCCCACCTGCACTTCTGCCTGGATTCCCTTCAGGGCCGCCAGCTGCCCTTGCAGAGCCTTGATCTCCTCTTGCTTCCGTCTTTCTGCGGCTTCTGTAGCTGCCTTTCTCTGTGCCTGGTAGGACAACCATTTTCCTGTGAGGACAGCCTGTTAGGGAAGCCTTAGAGGTCATGACAAAGCCTGGCCTGGCCACTGCTTCTTGAATGGGACAACGTCCGCCGGCACTGGAGGCTGGCTGGGGCTGACTCATCTAAGGCACGTCTGGTGGGGACGCTGCAAGGTGCCCGTGGCTGTTACTACTCCTCTTCCCAGAGGGGCAAGTCCACGTCTCACAGGCAAGCGAGGAGGAGCAGGGACTGACCCCAGGGAGCCAGCGCTCCTGCCGTGCACCCGTGCTGCCTGCACACGCGGCTCCCAGGAAGCCCGCCGCTCGCGCACCGAGCACCCTGCGGACAGCAGCTCACCTGCACTTCAGCCCCCGTGGGCCTGCCGTCGATTCTGGCGAAGCCCTCAAACAGGGTCCTGTACAGGACGTTCCTGCGCGCGCTGCTGTCCTCGGCGGGGAGGTGCTCCAGGACAGAGGCCGGGTGCTGCCGGTACAGGTCCAGGACGACCCTCACCGCCGCCTCACGGACCTCGTACACCCTGTGCTGCAGGGCGCTCACGGAGAACTGGGCAGAGAGGGCAGGGCCTCGTGTCACAGCGGCAGCGCCCATGCTCCTCCAGCGCGAGAGCAGCGCGGGTCCACAGCGGAGGTCGAAAGAAAGAAGGAGTCGGCGCGGGGCCTGGGTCACTCAGAACTTCCCTGAGCTGGCCGGCGCCATGGCTCACTAGGCTAATCCTCCACCTGCGGCGCCGGCACACCGGGTTCTAGTCCCGGTCGGGGCGCCGGATTCTGTCCCGGTTGCCCCTCTTCCAGTCCAGCTCTCTGCTGTGGCCAGGGAGTGCAGTGGAGGATGGCCCAGGTGCTTGGGCCCTGCACCCCATGGGAGACCAGGAGAAGCACCTGGCTCCTGGCTTCGGATCGGCACAGCATGCCAGCCATAGTGACCATTTGGGAGGTGAACCAACGGCAAAGGAAGACCTTTCTCTCTCTGTCTCTCTCTCTCACTGTCTACTCTGCCTGTCAAAAAAATTAAAAAAAAAACACACACACAAAAACAACCAAACTTCCCTGAGCTGACCTGACCTCAAACGCATGTTGGCGATGTAAATGAAAACTATCAACTTCATTTCCCAACATAAGTTCGGTCAACAAGGCATTCGGGGCGGGTGTCGTGTGCAGAGCCACCTCCCAAATCCGAGTGCCTGGCCCGAGGCCCTGCTGCTGCCCACTTCCAGTGCAGCTTCAGGCCAGTGGGCCCCTGGGAGGGGATGATCACCCCGTGGGTTCTCCACCCACACGGAGACCCAGATGGAACTCCTGGCTCCTGAGCTCGGCCTGGCCCAGCCCTGGCTGCTGCAGGCGTCTGGGGAATTAACCAGCAGGTGGACATCCCTCTCTCTGTCACTTGGCTTTCAAGGAAATGAATAAATCTCTAAAAAATTAAGATAATTTGCTAAGTGACGGGACCTGCTCTGACCCAGGGCCAGCCCTTCTGGGCACACTGAGCCCAACGCCTGAGCTGTTCAAAGACTCAGAGCCTATTCCTCCCCACCCTCGTCTCCTGGTCATCGACTCCCCACCCTCGTCTCCTGGTCATCGACTCCCCCACCCTCGTCTCCTGGTCATCGACTCCCCCACCCTCGTCTCCTGGTCATCGACTCCCCCACCCTCATCTCCTGGTCATCGACTCCGCACCCTCGTCTCCTGGTCATCGACTCCCCACCCTCATCTCCTGGTCATCGACTCCGCACCCTCGTCTCCTGGCCATCGACTCCCCCACCCTCGTCTCCTGGTCTTTGACTCCCCCACCCTCGTCTCCTGGTCATCGACTCCCCACCCTCGTCTCCTGGTCATCGACTCCCCACCCTCGTCTCCTGGTCATCGACTCCACACCCTCGTCTCCTGGCCATCGACTCCCCCACCCTCGTCTCCTGGTCTTTGACTCCCCCACCCTCGTCTCCTGGTCATCGACTCCCCCACCCTCGTCTCCTGGTCATCGACTCCCCCACCCTCATCTCCTGGTCATCGACTCCGCACCCTCGTCTCCTGGTCATCGACTCCCCACCCTCATCTCCTGGTCATCGACTCCGCACCCTCGTCTCCTGGCCATCGACTCCCCCACCCTCGTCTCCTGGTCTTTGACTCCCCCACCCTCGTCTCCTGGTCATCGACTCCCCCACCCTCGTCTCCTGGTCATCGACTCCCCACCCTCGTCTCCTGGTCATCGACTCCACACCCTCGTCTCCTGGCCATCGACTCCCCCACCCTCGTCTCCTGGTCTTTGACTCCCCCACCCTCGTCTCCTGGTCATCGACTCCACACCCTCGTCTCCTGGTCATCGACTCCCCACCCTTTTGCTTTCCCCTCTGCCTGCCTCATTCCTCCCAGCACTCAGATGCACAGAACACGGCCAGGCAGTCTCCACACCGTGGGCACCACTGTGGCAGTGCGGGGCCGCGGCAGTGTGTCCCGGGCCTGCTCACCTTCATCACGCCATCCACCGTGAAGCCCGAGCCCTCGGTGCCCAGGTCTCGCAGCAGCCGGCCCAGCAGGTCCATCTGACTCATGGCCAGGTGAGTCGAGGAGTTGGCTTTCAGCGGTTGCACCAAGTAAGACGGAATAATTTGGAGAGATTTAACCTCCTTGAACAAGGCCATTTCCTATAAAGAATCAACATAACCTGTTAATTTTTATGGGAAGTGCTAGAGGCAATTTAGCAAAACCTTCAAACTAAGGCATCGAAGGGAAACAAGGGGAATAAAGCCACGCGAGGAGCAGGGCCGGGGTGCCGGCGGTTCAGCTGCCCTTGCAACACCACAGCCCGTGCCCGAGCGCCCGGCTGAATCCTGGCTGCTCTGCGCCCCGCTCCTGCTCCCTGGCTGCTCTGCGCCCCGCTCCTGCTCCCTGGCTGCTGTGCGCCCCACTCCTGCTCCCTGGCTGCTGTGCGCCCCACTCCTGCTCCCTGGCTGCTGTGCGCCCCACTCCTGCTCCCTGCTCCTGTGCCCCGCTCCTGCTCCCTGGCTGCTGTGCGCCCCGCTCCTGCTCCCTGGCTGCTGTGCGCCCCATTCCTGCTCCCTGGCTGCTGTGCGCCCTGCTCCTGCTCCCTGGCTGCTCTGCGCCCCGCTCCTGCTCCCTGGCTGCTCTGCGCCCCGCTCCTGCTCCCTGGCTGCTCTGCGCCCCGCTCCTGCTCCCTGGCTGCTCTGTGCCCCGCTCCTGCTCCCTGGCTGCTCTGCACCCCATTCCTGCTCCCTGGCTGCTGTGCGCCCCGCTCCTGCTCCCTGGCTGCTGTGCGCCCCATTCCTGCTCCCTGGCTGCTCTGCGCCCCACTCCTGCTCCCTGGCTGCTCTGCGCCCCGCTCCTGCTCCCTGGCTGCTCTGCACCCCATTCCTGCTCCCTGGCTGCTGTGCGCCCCGCTCCTGCTCCCTGCTCCTGTGCCTGGGAGGCAGCAGATCACGGCCACAGTGCTCGGGCCCCAGTACCCACATCGGGACCAGACAACTCCCGGCTCCTGGCTTTGTCTGGCCCAGCCCTGGTTAGTGGGGGTATTTGGGGAGCGAACCAGTGGGTGGAAGATCTCTCTCTGTCCCTCCCTCTCTCTGCACTCTGCCTTTTAAATAAATATCTTTTTAAGAAAACAATAGGAACAAACTGCAGTAAAATCATCAATCTTTAAACTCCTATATCTTTCTCTTTTAAAAAACGAAGCCTTTCTTTTATCTTTCTGTTTCTCTGAAAGGCAGAGAGATACATGCAGAAGGACTGCTGACTCACGCCCCACGAGTTACAGCTCAGCCAGGAGCCAGGAGCTCCCCGTGGGCCTCCCACGTGGGCAGCGGGGACGCGTCCTGCGCCATCACTGCTGCCCCCCAGGTGCACGGCAGCAGGACGCTGGGTCAGGGGTGAACCTGGGCATTCCCTCCTGTTCAGGACGGGGAGGATTCGGGCGGCAACTTAACCGCGGCACCAACGCACGCCTGGAGCTCAGGCCGCTGGGAGCTCAGTGAGACACTGGCCACACCACCTGAAGCACGGGGGCCCAACCACCGCCACCGAGAGCCGCGGAAGCCTCAGAGTGCCGGCAGGCGCGTGCACGCGTCCGCTCTCTGCAGGCCTCAGCAAGCTCAGGCCTCCTAGTGCCTGAAATTCTAAATGAAATGACAGTGCCACGGCTCGGATCATCATTTCAGTATTTACTCAATGCCGGCAAGTGTGTGCCAATGTGTTCTCAATAGGGCTACCAGCGGGCTAAGACGAAAACCGTAGACACCATGACCTCAGTGTGTCTGCACCACCAGGTCTGTCTCTAGTTGAGGGAGACACCGTTAATCAGCCAGATGCAGAGCAAGAGGGAAACCTGAGCAACGAAACACTGGAGCTTTCCCGTCACAATCGAGCAAGGAATGTCCTTGCCAAGTCCTCGGTCCTGGCACAGGGCCGGGTTACATCTGGCCTGCGAGTGGTCTGTGCAGACACGAAAGCTAAGGGGGGACGAGAGACTTTTCTGAGAAGAGGACAGTGAACCCTTAACCGGCTCCAGACGTGGCAAATGCACGCGTTCTCACAGTCAGCCGACAGGCGCTCTGGGGTAAAACACGGACACGGTGCTAAGGTCACACACGGCCACGCCACTCAGAGATTCACTCGGTCTAAAAGTAACTCCAGGAGGGAATGCTCCCGGCTCCTGGGAGACGGCATCTACCCAAAACTCACTTCCACCAGCGAGCACGTTGCAGCGCTTCACTTAGCTTCATTTCTCGACTTCCTGATGAGTATCATTAACTTTCCCTAGTCACTTTCCCTGAAAATTAGTTTATTAAATGAAGCCAGATCTGCCGTTTGTCACATCTTAGAGGAATGATTCCTGTGAAGACGCACGCAGCTTTGGGTTCCTTCCCAAGGAGGGGACTGGCAGCCAGCCGGCCCAGACTTCCAGGACCTCACAGGCTGTCCGGGCCAGTACTGCGGCACAGCAGGCCAAGCCACCACCTGCGATGCCTGCGTCCCAGAGCCGCTGCTCCACTTCCGATGCAGCTCCCTGCTGTGGCCTGGGAAAGCAGCAGAAGATGGCCCGAGTCCTTGGGCCCCTGCACCCACGTGGGAGACCCGGAAGCAGCTCTGGGGAGGGAGAGGGAGGGAGGAGAGGGAGTGGGAGAAGGCGAGAGGGAGAGGGAGGGAGGGAGGGAGAGGGAGGAGAGGGAGAGGGAGACGTGAGCCCTCTTCTACTTTTCCAGGTGCATTAGCAGGGAGCTGGATTGAAAGTGGAGCAGTGCTCACCTGGGACGCTGGTATCATCGGCAGTGGCTTAACCGGCTGTGCCACAAAGCTGGCCCCTGTACTTTTATTTATTTACAAAACAGCTTATGTGGGACAAGAGGAATAATGGAAAGACCAAACTGTACACTTTCATCAAGTTTATGTCGAAGCCCAAATTCATCTTGCAGGGCCTAAGCGAAGCGCAGCAGCGGGTCCCCAGGCCCTCGGGCAACGCTGCTGCCCCGACGGCCGCGGGCGCTCAGAGGGGCAGCTCCGCAGGGGTCTTCGTGCTGCTGCGGTCCCTGATCCCACCGAGGAGTGCAGACCTGAATGAAGTTGGCAGCGAGGATTCGGAGGCGGGCAGAGGAATCGCCGGTTCTGGCAAGCAGGACAGGGACCGTCCTCTCGACGCAGTGCGTGGTCTCCGGTTTGCCCAGCCTGTGTTTAGGAACGTAGTGCGTGATGATCATCTTCAGCAGCTTCAGGGAAGCCTGAAAGACCTAAGGAAGAGGCGACGGCACAGGTGAGCCACTCCGAAACCCCCCAGACTGAACAGGAAGCGAGCCGTGAGCAACCACAGGGTGCCTGAAGGGCGGCGGCAGACTGAAGGCCTGCGCTTACGTCACCGGGTCGCCAAGGGCTGCCTTGCCGAGCGGACAAACTCCTGTGTTAGCGCGGACACCGGTGACGAGGGGACGCGCAGGGCCCACGGGAATGACCATTCGCAGTAATTCCCAGGCGCCTCAGGTTTCACGAAACCCAAGACCTAAGCTGGACATCTGTTGGGGTGTGCAGGGCCTCTGCCACCAGCTGTCTGAGGGCCGTGGAGAAGCTGATGCCGCGTAACCCGGGCTGGCCAGAGCTCAGAGGCCGCCATTCGCCATCGCCCGCACGATGCACTTTGCACGAGTGCACCGCGGGGCTCTGCTGACGGCTGTGTCAGCGGCCGGGCTCTCTCTCCTGCTGCCCTGGCCTCTCGTGGTGGGTCACGGGACCTCAGCCCTGGACGCCAGAGCCAGGGGCAGCCGAGGGACTCACGGAGGTCACGATGTCCTTTATGGCTCTTCGGATGAGAAAGACGGCCGCCCTCAGCGTGCTCTTCACGTCTTCCTTTGGGGTCCCGGCCGGCATCTCCGTCATCTTTCTGTAGAGAGCAAGCAGTGCGTCTTCTCGGTAGGACCACGTCTTGGAGTAGGCCCCGGCCACCTGCCGCAGAGCGGGGGTCTCGCTTCAGCTGAGTCAGCATCAGCGTGACAGCACCCAGACTTAGAGAGCGAGAGGGAGGGAGGGAGGGAGGGAGGGGGCTTCCATGCTCTGGTCACTCCCCAAATGGCCACAACAGCCAGAGCTGGGCCAGGCTGAAGTCGGAGCCAGGAGCTTCTTCCAGGTCTCCCGTGGGCCCCAAGCACTGGGCCGTCTTCCTCCGCTGCCTTTCCAAGAGCATTAGCAGGGAGCGGGATCAGAAGTGGAGCAGCCGGGACTCGAACCGGTGCCCACATGGGATGCTGGCCCTGCAGGTCGTGGCTTAAACCACTGCGCCCCCGAAGGCTGTCTTTAAACTAAGATGAATCCTAGAGTAATGAGATCTCTCTAGAGAATAAACGTGTATCAGAAGTAACTTCTCTGATGTGGAAAGTGTTACACATCTCACTAAGAGAAACATTTTCAAGTTGAGAACCCGGAGAGTCACTGTTTTGTTTTGTTTTTTCCCTGAGAGGAGGAGAGAGAGGGAAGAGGACAGAGGGCACCCACAACGCTGGGCTGGGCTGGGCTGGGCAGGCACTGAGGCCGAGAACAGCCCAGTCTCGTGGGCGGGGGGCGGGTGGCGGGAACGCCGTCCCTGGAGCAGCGACTGCTGCCTCCCGCTGTGGAGCTGGAGCTGGGAGCCGAGCCCGGGCCCTGCTCTGTGGGACGGGGGCCTGAGCTCCAGGCTAGTGGCCGGCTCCCAGGCGGGGCTCGTGTCTGTAACGGGTGCTGCCCTCTTCTGCCCGCCACGGCTAACAGGGGTGAGCCAGTGTTCAGAGGGGCTCATGAATCCCGGGGACATTTTATCTTAACAACTCATCCATAAAATCTGAAATCTTGGCTCATGCTTTTGCTGCTTCATGTAACTCCTAGTCACCCAGAACCCCCAGACAAGCGAGAAGCACCCAGGCCATCAGTAGCATCCCAGACACACCCCGGCGCTTCCTTCACAGCTGACGGCGCTCGTGCTCACCAAGGTGTCTCCCAGCACGTCGATGGCAGCGCCGGCTTCCCGCAAGGCCTTCTCCGTCAAGGGCTCCGGCTCCCCGGGAACGCCCGCCCTCCGAGCGTCTTCGCTGCCGTCGGCGTCACTCGTCTCTGGCTGCACCAGTGCGTCCCCCTGCTGCCTGCGCGCGGCGGGCAGCGGCCGCTCATCGTAGGGCAGGGCCTCCGCCTGCAGGTGAGGAGGGGGAGAGAGGAGGGCCCTGGGGCTGCTGGCGCGGATCTCCCTCCTCCCCTCCCTTCCTAGCTGTCCAGTGGCCTGACAGATGCCACTTTGCTAAGCCCCGGCACCCTAAGATTAGAATAATTCATGGAACAGGTGTCGTTGGAAAGTGAGAAAGGGGTTTTCTGTGCCTTCCTGAACTGGTCGCAGACAGAACAGAAAAGCAACGTGGCCCCGCCTCAGCTCAGTCAGCTCTGGCTGAAGGGAATGGAGATCAGGAAGGCAAAGGTTATTTTTTTATTTATTTATTTTTTATTTTTTTTTCTGGCGAGATTCCCGCCAGCGTTCTGTTTAGGAATAAGCCCCTCCCCAGGCTCATCATCAGGCGGACCCTCCCCCCAGGCCTTCCCGGCCTGAGGGCTGCAGCCTGCCAGGCCCTGCCCCACCATCCCCCGCCTGCGGTGAGCTGTGCCCAGCAGAGAAGGGGGCGGGGGGGGGGGTGCTTCAGTCCTCCCGGGGCTTGCAGCGTCCTGGGGGACAACGGCCCATGGCCACCCAGTTACGTGAGGGCAGGGGAGCTCCCAGGCGGGGTCACTGTGACACTGCACACAGGAGGGCAGCTTCCCTCCTCCGCTGACAGACGCATTAGCCGAGTGTGGGCCAGGCATGGGAACACGTTCCTCACATTCTACACGTCACTCGCGGCTGTGAAATACTTTCAGGTGACAAAGGACATTACAGAGGCTACGAAGCTGACGCAGTCAGTCCAGAGGAGCTACGTAGGCGGCTGCTACAGTGACAACCTGGGGACGGACACGTGAGCGGAGGGAGCCCCAGCAGACTCGGGTCAGGGCAGCTGGCCTTCGGCCTCCGCCCCCGTGTGCTCCCCTGGCCACTCCCCCACAGCTAGCGGAAGCTCTGGGCGGGCCCTGGCAGCTGCTCAGCACGTGCCCCCCGTAGGCTCGTGGCTGCAGAGGCCAGCGTGTGACCAAGGCTGAGCTACCAGGGTAAACCTGAGGACCCCTGCCCCCAGTGAAGCTGACCCCAAAAGCCACTTAACCCTGTAGCTCCCCAGTTCCAGCAGCCAATAAAACCCCCAGTTTGAGTCTGGCTTTCTGTTGCCTATGCCCACATGGGATGTTCTCACGGGTGTAGTAACGGCACACTACACAGATGTTCTCACGGGTGTAGTAACGGCACGTTATATGGATGTTCTCATGGGAATAGTAACGCCACGTTACACGGATGTTCTCAGTGTGTAGTGCCCACTGCTGACACTCATGGCCTTGCCTCTCTCCTGCAAGGCAGGCAGGAGAGGTTTGGCTGTGTGAAGCACTCGTGTATCCCGTGCACCTGACCCGTACCTGGCCCACACAGCCCCTCAGCAGGCACCTGCTGCCGGAAGTGCAGGCCCGCGTGAAGCGGGTCACTTACAACGCTCTTGGCAGGAGGCCCCGTGGCTGGCAGGAACTGGCCCATGGCAGAACGCCGTGGAGAAACGGATGGAGAGTACGCGGGCTTCTCCTGGAGGATAGGCTCTGCAGACTGGTTTTCCGTCACCCCCTCCTCTGGCTGGGGCAGCGAGGGCACCGGCTTTTGGTGGCGTGGACTCCCAGAACGAATGAGGGGCTGGACAGGCAAATCCAAAGGTCTTCGCATCTAGAGCAAAAAGAGGGACGTTTGGTTTCAAACTCCACAGCCACATGGGACCTGCCTGCCTCACGCCCCAGACGACAGATGACGCGCATCAGGAAGGCTGTGCCGGGGGGGGGGGGGGGGTGGACACCAGCGCAAGGAAAGGTTCAAAACAAAAGGAAAAGCTGCACGGAGCAGGACGTCGAGTCCCGTGTGGTCACACTGCCGCCCTCAGCCATCTCGCCAGGGCCTGTGTGCCCTAATACCAGTGTAAGCGTGAGCCTTCGGGTGGGGCTCACCACTGGGCGTGCCAACATGCTCACTCCCAAGTGCCCATGGACGGGCAGGGCAGTGGTGGATGCGAACAGCCTCGTGGGTAAAACCTGGCACCGCGAGTCACTGTCTGCAGGACCAAGTGACCTGTGGAACCTCGACGGCAATCGTGATGAGCCGGCCTGGCACCGACGCCCGTACCCCACGCTGCCCTCCATGCTCACCGCTTTGTCTAGTGGGAGAATGGAGGCACAGGGCTGATAAGAGCCGCCTGAGCTGACGCCGCGACGGCGGGTGTGGCCTGGGCAGCCCAGCTCCAGGCCTCTGCCTTCCACCGCTGTCCTGTGGCCCAGGGCCTCAGCTTCCCCATCTGTTGAGTGGGTGGCTGCCAGCTGCCTGCAGGGGTTCTGAAGATCGGGGCTGAGCCCCTCGTCTCCGCAGCACGACCGGGGCGGGTGGGGCAGTGACTACACTCGGCAGAGCTGGGCCGGCGGTGGGCTAGGGACTCACGGCAGAGGTGCTGGAGCCTCTGCCTTCCTCCCCCTTCCCTACTGCACGTCCCCTGAGGGAGACCCCCCCCAGACACGGGGACACAAGACACAAGAGCCGGGCTACCCCTGCGACTGCCACCCGCGCATCGCATTTGCAGGACACAGGGAAGCACTCCTCCCCACCGCGGGACCCGCCCGGGCCTGCCCCAGGCCGCGTGCGCACCTGCTCGGCGTCCAGCAGGCTGTGGACACGGGGAAGCGCTCCTCCCCACCGCGGGACCCGCCCGGGCCTGCCCCAGGCCGCGTGCGCACCTGCTCGGCGTCCAGCAGGCTGTGGACACGGGGAAGCGCTCCTCCCCACCGCGGGACCCGCCCGGGCCTGCCCCAGGCCGCGTGCGCACCTGCTCGGCGTCCAGCAGGCTGTGCAGCTGCAGCTGCTGGTACACCTCGGCGCGGTACTGCTGCATCTGGCGCTTCTTCTCCTTGGCCAGGTCGTAGTCCTCCTTCTCCACGGCGCAGCGTTTCTCCACCTCGTACCTCCCGAGACGCTCGCCAACCTGAAGCACAAGACGCCTGCTTTAGGCTTCCCATCTGGGGCAGCTGACGCCAAGTGCAGTGATGTTCAGAGTGACGCTCCAAGGACAGCGGCTGTGGCGGAGCGCAGTCCCGAGAAGGGAACAGGCGCAGGGCAGCGGGAGGAACGGCCCGGCCCACGCGCCGTGCGAAGGCCCCCGAAGGCCGTGCTGCGTGTGGCTGCACCAGCATCTAACGAGCCTTTGAGGTCGCTCATCCCGACCATTCCCCGCTGCAGTCGGGGTTCACGGCTGAGGCCGCCGCCGCCGGACACTGCGTCTGGGCCGAGCTCGCTCGCCGCCCGCACTTGAAGCTGCTGGGGCCTCGGAGCTCACACTGACGCCACGGCCCCCAGGAAGCCGTGCTCAGCTTCCACACGCGGTTGTGAAAATCGTCCTGAAACCCCGCCGCAGGCACCACGCAGGGCGGCTTTCCCGGCGCGGTACCTTCTGCAGGTCGGCGATGGCCTGCTTCAGCTTCTTGGCGCAGTCATAGCGCTCCTTCCGGACGGCCTCCCGTTTCCTCTCATCTAACTTGCGGATAATCTGCGCGACTTCTGGGTCCTGGTACATGTCGAAGGCCAGGTCATCCAGTGGAGAAATGTAGTCCGATCTCCTGAGGGAAAGAGTGCACGTTTCAGAGCTAACGTGACCCAAGGGACGACAGCAGGGAGCCCGGGACAGAGCCGCGACAGCTCCAGGTTCTTCCGACCCGTCTGACCTGCACCTGGCGCCTGTGACCAGTGTGCACATCTCGGGATAGGGCAGTGAGCGCCAACCAGGCACAGGTAGGGCGGTGAGCGCCAACCAGGCACAGGTAGGGCGGTGAGCGCCAACCAGGCACAGGTAGGGCGGTGAGCGCCAACCAGGCACAGAATCGCGCGGGGAGGGGCACAAGGGTGACCGGCTCTGCTCCACGCCACACCCCCACGCTGTTTCTGATGAGCAGCAAAGGCTAGGAGCTGCCGCCGCGCTGGGTTTTCCCTCCAAGGGCTAAGCTGTGGGCTAGTAAAGATTGCGCCCTCAGAAAAATTCTTTTAGGGAAAAATACTTTTCAAAGACCTATATAACTTATTTCTTTAAGAAAAGCTTAAATTTATTTTCATTTATTTGAAAGGCAGAGTGAGCAAGAGAGGGCTGTATCTCTCAGCTGCTGGTTCATTCCCCAAACGCCGGCAACAGCTGGGACTAGGACAGGCCGAAGCTAGGAACCTGGAGCTCCATTTGCGTCTCTCGCCCTGGGCCATCCACCACCTGCGGCCTCGCAGGGTGTGCGTCAGCAGGAAGCCGGATTGGAAGCCGACGCAGGACCCAACCCCAGCACTCCAATGAGGGTGAGGGTGTCCGGGGGCAGCTGAACTTGGCCACCACGCCCCTCTGACCAGCTCTGTGCTGACGGAGCGTCACTTCTGTTCTACCGTTCCAGTTGCAGAATGGGGCAACAGGCGGCTTCCTGCTACCAGCTGGAACAGCACGGTTGGTCTAACCACTCACGGAAGCTCTGAGAGGACAAGTTTCAAATTGCCAAGTGCACACAGTGGGACTTGTTAGCTGGGACTTCGATTTCCCTACAGATGGGTCAATTTTAACTAAAACGTCATCATACAAATCTACTTGGCCCATCTGTATAAATTCAAATGGGGCATGGACTTTCTACAGACACCCAGCTCTGGGCTCCAACGCCCCTGCCCCACGCTCACGCCACCTCGCTCACAGCCACAGCGCCAGGCAAGGTGACGCGGGGTTCCGGCAGCTTCCGCAGCGCCGTGCTTCGCCCAGAGCACGTGGGCCGCCTGTGAGCTCACACGCACCTCTGAAGCCGCAGAGGCGAGCTCTGGCAGCCGGTCGTCCGGGCAAGCCACACCTTTGGTTCTGCCCTGGGCTGCTCTGAGGTGCGCCTCTGGAGGCGTCAGGAGTGGCGGAGCCCACAGAAATGAGGGGCGCAGGGAAGGGGTCCTCCTGGGCAGCTAAGCCCTCGGCACTCGTCCCCTCCACGCCGCTCGGCACTCGCCCCCTCCACGCCGCTCGGCACTCGTCCCTCCACGCCGCTCGGCACTTGTCCCTCCACGCCGCTCGGCACTCGTCCCTCCACGCCGCTCGGCACTCGTCCCCTCCACGCCCCTCGGCACTCGTCCCTCCATGCCCCTCGGCACTCGTCCCCTCCACGCCGCTCGGCACTCGTCCCTCCACGCCGCTCGGCACTCGTCCCCTCCACGCTGCGTACAAGGCCCTCAAGGCCAGAACCCCCTGGAACTGCCCGCCCCGGTGATGCCGGGAGCAGGACTCTTACCCGGCGTAGGTTCCTTCGAGGGCTGGGTCCTCTGTGTTGTGCCCGAGATAATGGTCGATGAGCTTCTCCCTAGAGGTCTTGGAGAGCAAGCGCCGGCTTAGTGTCTCAGAAAACCAGGAACAACCCCCGCACTAAGGAGCCACAGTCTTGGAGGGGCAGCTGCCACTCTCACGGCTGCTGCGAGTAGCCCGGCGCTTTTCCACTGCTCAGCTCGATACAGATTTCTTTTTTTTCTTTTCTTTTTTTTTTTTTTTTTTTTTTAACAGGCAGAGTGGACAGTGAGAGAGAGAGAGAGACAGAGAGAAAGGTCTTCCTTTTGCCGTTGGTTCACCCTCCAATGGCCGCTGCGGCCAGCGCGCTGCGGCCGGCGCACCGCGCTGATCCGATGGCAGGAGCCAGGAGCCAGGTGCTTTTCCTGGTTTCCCATGGGGTGCAGGGCCCAAGCACCTGGGCCATCCTCCACTGCACTCCCTGGCCACAGCAGAGGGCTGGCCTGGAAGAGGGGCAACCGGGACAGAATCCAGCGCCCCGACTGGGACTAGAACCCGGTGTGCCGGCGCCGCTAGGCGGAGGATTAGCCTAGTGAGCCGCGGTGCCGGCCAGATACAGATTTCTAAAACGACCCTGTTTGTCATGAAAATAGCCAGTGCCCTCTTGCTAGACACACTCCTCCCTCAGGAATCACACTTGCCACACTCACAACGTTCCTCTCGTCGCCGAAGTCCGCAGGGTCCCCAATGATGTTCACTGCGACCAAAGCCACCTGAGGGAGGGAAAGCGGCAGAGGATGAGACGCTGCGAGAACCTGGCTCCTCTGCACCGGCTCGGGTCTGCGCTGTCGGAAGCGGGCTGACCCTGGCGAGGAATTGTTACTGACTTCCCCAGCTGAGGTGGGGCATCCTTCCTCACAAGGAAACCTTGCCGCTGGTGAGCCCACAGAGGGCGGCGCGGAGCCGGGAAGGCGCGGGCCTCACCTGGTTGTACACATTGTATTTGTTGACGTGGTTCTGGTGGAAAATCAGCTTGAGAAATCGCCCCACCGCGTCCACGTGCACGGACTTCAGCTCCCGGGCTTTGCACCCCGTCTTCTCGTTGTCGCAGAGGGAGACGTAGCTGGAAGCCAGACAGGATGTACGGTGTGGAAATGCATCCGCCCTGCGCCCCCTGGACCGCACCCGCCCTGCGCCCCCTGGACCGCACCCGCCCTGCGCCCCCTGGACTGCACCCGCCCTGGACCGCACCCGCCCTGCGCCCCCTGGACCGCACCCGCCCTGCGCCCCCTGGACTGCACCCACCCTGGACCGCACCCGCCCTGCGCCCCCTGGACCGCACCCGCCCTGCACCCCCTGGACCGCACCCGCCCTGCGCTCCCTGGACCACCCTGGTGGGGTTTCAGTAAAAGCCAAGTCCAGGAGGACCCCCCTGAGCCGCAGCCTGGCTCCCAGAGCCCAGGGGCACAGGGCCCCGGCTCCGTCAGGGCATTCGGCACCAGGGGTAAGAAACGGCGTCCGCTTCAACCAGGAGAGGTATCACAGGGACCAGAGCAAGGCCAGCTCAGTAATTCTAGTTCTGAGGCAGAGTTAAGCTAACAGTTGGTCATGAATTTAGATTTCACTCTCACCCAAGTCTCCGAAAGCGCTCGGCTGGATACGGCACGAGATACTCCGGCAGGCTTTCACTGATGTAGAACTCGATCTTGCTGGAGATCATGTACTGGTGAGCCAGCAGCTGCAGCTTCCGTATGCGACACCTCTCCACCATCTGAAGAACGATCTCTTGTGGAAACTGGCAGAACCTGAAAGCACACAGCGCTGTGCACCTGCGGTTCCCGGGGGGCGCCGGTGCCCGCAGCCAGGCCGCCGGGCCCCACGCGTCAGGCGACAGCTGCGGGGAGCTGGCTGGGGTGCAGCTCCGCACACACACGGGGCACGGCCACACTTCCCGGTCTCCCCGCTCGCCACGTTACTGGGATTTGAGTGACTCTCCTGGGGCGTGTGACGGCTTTCGGTGCTGGCAAGTGGCTGGTAGTGGAACTGAAACTTAGCGTGAGAGAAACCAGCCCGACAGCAGCAGGCGGAGGGCCGGCGTGAGGCGAGGAGTCAGGTGCTGCTCGTGACGCCGGCACCCAGCTTTTAGCTAACGCGACCAAGGAGGCAGTGGACAATGACCCAAGTGCTTCGGCCCCTGACACCGTGTGAGGGACCAGGACTGAGGGCCTCGTTCCTGGCTCCCGCCTGGCTCAGACCCGGCTGCGGCAGCCATCGGGGAGTGAACCGGTAGAGGTAGGGTCTCTCTGTCTCCCTCTTCCTGTCGCTCTGCCTTCCAAATACATAAATCTCTTTTTTAAAAAAGTTTGTATAACAGGCAAGAGAGGCAAAGAATCTTCTATAGCAACGAAAACGCTCCAGGAAAACCAGGATTCCAGGCCCTTCAGCTAAGCTCTCGAGGTGTCCCCCAGGGTGCTCGGGACGGGGGGGGCAGCACTGGGGCTCGCAGGGGAGCTCCTCGTTTTCTGACTTAGCAAATAAAACACGAAGCAGTCAGGAGTCAGCAAAGGCCTCACCCCGCAACACAGGACCAGACCGAGGTGGCAGCACGGCTTCTGCGTAACGGGGCGGGGGAGGGGCTCGGGAAAGGCTCCTCACTGCCTGGGCCTGGCGGGCGCGTGCGGTCCCGCCTGCTGGCCACGCCTGCTGGCCACGCCCACCTGCCTCCCCCTCCGCCGAGCCTCAGCGCTGCCCACACTTCCCGGAGGACACAGACCCGAGACAGGCCTGGTGCCACTGGAGCGGGACGCACCCGAGGCGGGCTGGACCCATGGCCTCCTGGGGGTGGCCCCCGTCACTCCCTCCTCACACAAACTCCAGAAAGCCCCACTGTCACAGCACCACGCCGCGACCCTGCCTCTCCCTCCAGGTGCCTGGTGCTCCTCAGAAAACGCCACGAATCCCTTGTCTGTGTCCACAGCACCATTTCCTGGGCCCCTTCTCCCCACACGACTCCCACAGGGCTCTGTTCCAGCTGCCCCGGGTCACCCTTGTGACCACCTCGGATCTCCAAGACACCAAGTGCACGCTCCCTTCCTGGTCCCAACCTTGTCCAGGTCACAGAACTGTCCATGCTCCTCCAGACACAATAGTGACTCGCACGTGGACTTGGACACATCACAGAGGCAGGCAGTGGGCAGGGCAGGCGCCGCGCAGGGAGCAGAGCACCCCGGCAGGACTCCCGCGTTTCAGAGAGAACACAGCTCTCAGAAGCGAGCGGTTTTATAAGGGGTACGGGCATTTGGGGGATCTGGGAGGGATTTTTTGGTTACAGCTGGTGTCACATGTGAGCAGCCAGGCACAGAACCTTCTGCCACTGTGGCCCAACCACACAACCAAACCCTCTGGGACACAATTTCTTATGTCAGTGTGCGTTCACGTTACAAGGAAAAAAAGGTCAACAAATTTCCTTAAGAACACAAAGAAAACCCACCACTGTATCAGAACGAGCGCCACGGCGCCGAAGCCCAGCCGCGGCCTCGTGGTTCTGCTGCCCGAGCCGCGGTGAAACCAGGACTTGGCACGGAGGAGCCTGCGCACTGCTCAGGACTCTGCCTGCCTCCCGGCCCGTGCCCGCCCTGCCCAGCCGTACCTGGGGGACCGCCACCCGCTGACAGTGGGTGCGTGGATCATGAGCTCCCGGGCACTGAAGCCGTCTTCATGTCCAGACGAGCTGACGACCACAAATCCGATCTTGTGGGGCATTCTGCAGGCGCCGCGGTTCATGGAGCGCAGGCCAGGTCCCTTCAAGTGAAGGAGTCGTGGAAAGAGCAGCTGGAACGCAGCTCGCACCGGGCCGCCGTGCGGGGCACTCGCGCCGAGCCGGCTCCCTCCGCACTGTGGCAGACGCCTCAGACCGCACTTCGACAGAGCTGCCCTGCTCTCACCAGATGTTTGCCCAAAGCTTAACCAGCGTTGTGGATCCAACCGTGTCCCCACAACACAGGCTGGAGTCCCACCTGCGAAGCTGCTGTGATTTGCAAACAGAGCCTTTGCAGGTGGAATCCAGCTAAAACGAGATCCTTGGGGGGGGGGGGTTCAACGCAAGGCTGAGTGCGGGAGAGGCGTCCTGCGTCCTGCACTGGAGGGCCTGTGCGAGTCCCGGCTCCGCTTCAACGCCAGCCCCTGCTAATGCGCACCTGGCAGGTGACAGGTGACGGCTCCAGAGCTGGGTCCCTGCCACCCAGTGGGAGACCCCGATTGAGTTTCAGACTCTGGGCTTTGGCCTGGCTCCGCCTTGGCTGCTGGAAGATTTTGGGGGGTGAACCAGCAGGCGGAAGATGTGTCTGTCTCTCTCTGACTCTCAAATAAGCAAATACATGGCTGAAAAAATGCAGTAAATTGTTATTAAACATTCTGGTCACTTCTTTTCACGAAGTTCACCGTGCGATGTCACAGTTTATTAGAGGAAGACAAAACTGTGCTAACCCAGTAAACAAAGGCAGCTCAAAAACCTGGCAGAGTGATCCAGCCACCGTCCACCCAGCTCCACCTGCATTCCAGACACGCATGGCCTGCAGCTCCTCCCACTTCCTGGGGACTGTCCACTTCTGGGTCACCCAGGCCAAGGGGTACTGTTCCCCTGGCCACCGCTCCGCCCTTACCAGTCGCTGGGCAGAGGGGCGGCGTCTCCCAAGGGGGCACGCGCCTGCGTGAGTCCTGCCTCCCCGCGCCCTCTTTTCCAGACGGCGACAGCGTCTGCTCTCCCACCTGCGGCACCCGGTTGGTGTCCGTGTGCCCAGCGCTCCTGCCGAACGCTGCTCAGCCCTGCTCCGCTCCACCCCACCCCACTCTTGAGAACCCTGGGACGAGCTCCCTCTCGAGGGCTTACAGGGCTGTCTCGGCCCCGCCTGCCTTTCCAACCCCCATTTCTTCTTTTATTTCTTCTTTTTAAAATGTATTTATTTTTATTTTCTTCGGAAGGCAGAGAGAGACAGAGCTTCCCTCTGCTGCTTCACTCACAAACGCTGGCAGCAGCCGGTGCTGGGCCAGGCCGAAGCCGGGAGCCCAGACCTGATCCAGGGCTCCCACGTGGGGGCTGAGGCTTCCTCTGCTGCCTCCCAGGGTACACGTTAGCAGGACGCTGGACTGGAAGTGGAGCAGCTGGGACTCAAACCCAGGCTCTCGACATGGGTTGAGGGCGGCCCTTGTAGTGTCCCAACTGCTGTGCCAAGTGCTTGCCCCATCCTCTCTCCTGGTCTGGGGAAGCCCAGCCCAACTCGGCCAGACCCACAGCTACCACCCCTTCATGCCGAGCGCCCCCAGCCCCCCGACCATCTCTAAGGGCGGGGCCTTCCCCCCCTTGGCCACCGCAGCTGGGCTCCGGTCTCTGACCTCAGCCAGCGCTGCTGCAGTGTTGGGCCTGAAACACAGGCCTTCACATTCAAGCAGCAGGTGTTTGCTCTAAACCACGGGGCCAAGTCCAGAGCAAAGTACAGCTGGGCTTCCAGACGCAGGCTCCACCCCATTTCACACTGAACACGTTTGGAAAAAATCGCACTGGCACCGACCTGCAGGCTGTAACTTTGTCGTTATTCCTGGAACAGCCCAACCACTGACACAGCACCTACATTGTGCTAGGGATGCTACGCACTCCGGAAATGATTTAACCTGCAGGACAGCACCCCAAAAGGCACACAGGAAACAGAATTGAGATGTTGACTTTGGTGCAGAAATTTTGAAATCCATGCATTTTTTTCATAACATGCATTTTACATGAAATTTAAAAAAATCATGTTGTGCATGATTTAATTTTTAAAAAGACTTATTTATTTATTTGAAAGTCAGAATTACAGAGAGACAGAGAGAGTCCTCCACCTGCTTGCCCATTCCCCAGGTGGCCACACGACCAGGGCTGGGCCAGGCTGAAGCCAGGAGCCAGGAGCTTCTTCCAGGTCTCTCACGCAGGTGCAGCGGCCCAAGGACTTGGGCCATCTTCTTCTGCTTTCCCAGGCCATAGCAGAGAGCTGGATGGGAAGTGGAGCAGCCTAGGCCAGGGCCGTGGCTCACTAGGCTAATCCTCCACCTGCGGCGCTGGCACACCGGGTTCTAGTCACAGTTGGGGCGCCGGATTCTGTCCCGGTTGCTCCTCTTCCAGGCCAGCTCTCTGCTGTGGCCCGGGAGTGCAGTGGAGAATGGCCCAGGTCCTTGGGCCCTGCACCTGCATGGGAGACCAGGAGGAAGCACCTGGCTCCTGGCTTCGGATCGGCACAGCACCAGCCGTGGCAGCCATTTGGGGAGTGAAGACCTTTCTCTCTGTCTCTCTCTCACTGTCCACTCTGTCAAAAAAAAAAAAAAAAAAAAAAAAAAAAAAAAAAAAAAAAAAAAGTGGAGCAGCTGGGACTCGAACCGGCGCCCACATGGATGACTTTCACCTTCCATGCCACAGCCCCACAAGAGGGGGGAGAACCTTGCACGCATGGATTTTTTTTTTTTTGCCACAAAGAATAAGCATCTTTTAACTCCGTTTCCACGACCTTTCTGACGCTCCACCGCACAGGAGATGACGCCCGGGGTTTGCGCGCTCAGAGCTCCACAGCTCGAGCTGGAGTGTGTGGGCGTGGCTGCCGCCAGGCTCCCTGACACGGAGACCTCGTGGGTGCGGGCGCGGTGAGAGAAGCATGGACCCCCGGGTGCGGCAGGGAAGCCTGGGGGCCCTGTGTCAAGATGCGTGCACCCCGGGACAGAGCCAGGCTCCGCTGCCTCGGGGTCTCCTCACCCGCGGGCGGGACCCCAGCCCCGCACTCCAGCCCCGCACTCCAGCCCCGCACCCCAGTCCCACACTCCAGCCGCCCGCACCCCAGCCCCGCACTCCAGCCGTCCAGACCCCAGCCCCGCGCGCCCCAGCCCGCGCCCCAGCCGCCCGGACCCCCGCACTTCAGCCCCGCGCCCCAGCCGCCCGGACCCCCGCACTTCAGCCCCGCGCCCCAACCCCGCACTCCAGCCGCCCGGACCCCAGCCCGCGCCCCCCAGCCCCGCCCCCCAGCCCCGCGCCCCAGCCGCCCGGACCCCAGCCCGCGCCCCCCAGCCCCGCACTCCAGCCCCGCGCCCCGGCTCGCGCCCCAGCCCCGCGCCCCAGCCCCGCGCCCCAGCCCCGCGCCCCGCGCCCCCAGCCCCGCACTCCAGCCCCGCGCCCCAGCCGCCCGGACCCCAGCCCCGCGCCCCAGCCCCGCACTCCAGCCGCCCGGACCCCAGCCCGCGCCCCAGCCTTGCGCCCCGCACTCCAGCCCCGCACTCCAGCCCGCACCCCAGCCGCCCGGGCCCGAGGCCACTCGCTCCGAGCCAACCCGCGCCCGCGGCGCCCCCAGCGCTAGGACAGAAACTGCGCTTCCAGCCCTGCTTGGAGGAGACTACAGCGTCCCCCGGCCAGCGCCGTCAGGCGGGGAAGCCGTCAAGCGCCTCCGAGAATTCCGCAGAGACCTCGGAAAGAAAGAACGGAGGGGCCGGCAGCGGCCGGGGCAGCGCCCGGCCAGCCGCGGGATGACACCGGCCAAGCCGCAGGGACCCGGCGCCCCCGATCGCGCCCACAGCCGCCGGCCGCCCGGAGGTACCTGTTCCGAACGCCGGGGCCGGCGACAGCGGGCGGCGGGCGGCGGGCGGCGGGCGGGGCCCGCTGAGGCCCCGGAGCCTAGGCCTCGCTCCGGGGCCCGCGCGCCGGCGGGCACCGGCCCTCGGCTGGCCGCCGGGACAGCCGCGGCTCCGCGCGCTCCCAGGCCGCTGAGGCGGTGGCACCTGAGGCGCAGCCCGGGCCGCCTCCGCCCATCGCCCGGGGCGCGGACGCCGCTCTCATGACAACCAGGTCCTGCCCCGGGGCCGCGGGCCTCTGCGCCTGCGCGACCCCGCCTTGACCCGGGCGCGCCTGCGCACAAGCAGCGGCCTCGGCGACCTGGCCTTCCGGGGACCGGGGGCGGGTGTGCGCCTGCGCACCAGCGCCGTGGCGCCTGCCCGGGCCCGGGACCCCTGCTCCGGCGGCGCGCGCCATGCTCCGGACGCCCAAGCGCGTGCGGCTGCGCGCCCTGCACGGCGCGGGCAAGTTCGGGGTGGCGGGCAGGAGCCTCGCGGAGCTGCTGCGCAAGGGCTGCCTGCGCTTCCAGGTGGGCGCGGGCCGGGGGCGGCGGCCGCGGGGGTCCGCGGCGCCCCCGCGCGCTCGGGCTCACCCGCGCCTGGTCCCCGCAGCTGCCGGAGGCCGGCGCCCGGCTGTGCCGGTACGAGGACGGCACCGAGGTGACCGCCGGCTACCTGCCCGGCCTCCCGGACGACGCGGAGCTCGTGCTGCTCGCCGAGGGCCAGAGCTGGCGGGGCTGTGAGTGGCGGAGCCCGGCGTGGCGTGGCGTGGCGTGGGGTCCCGCGGGCGGGCGGGCCGGGGCGGGGGCGCCGCCGCGTGCCCGCAGGGGCCAGCGCCCCTTCTCCTTCGGGTCTCGCGGTCCCAGGAGCGATCGCCGTGATGCCCCGGGGATGGGCGCCGAGTGCCCCGACAGGTTCGCGTCTCCCCGTCTTGGCTGCGCAGGTCGCTCCCCCACCCCGGACTGATTGCCCCCTCCCCACTGGACCTCCCGTAGACTGTTTTTCTTCTTAAATAATTGTTGGCCTGGATGTCCGTGCATCCCCAGGAGGCCGCACAGGTGGGAGGGGTGCCCCTCCCCGTGCCCTCCCGGGTCTGTCCGACGTGGTGCACCGGGTTCGGGCCGCCCTCCCGTCCATTAGCACACGGTTCTCTCGCTGGCCCCCAGGCCCCCGTCCACCCCCGCAGGGCGGCACTGCCCAAGCCATGCCTGCCTTTGGCCGTGGCCCCTGGGCTGTCGCGGGCACGGCCAGGTTCCCTGGCTGTTAGGCTGAAGAGCAGGCTGCAGGCCGGCTGACCGTTCCCCTGCGGAGGGGCATGTTGGGGGCTGCAGCTGCGTGGCCAGTCACGCCCGAGGTTGGTGGGGTTGGAGTTGTCATCTCTCTGGGGAAGGTGCGCGGAGCGCCAGGCCCGGCCGCGGGTCTGTGTGCCTTCAGTTTGTGGAAAAGACGAGGATGGCCGCGGGGCTGGAGGCTTGAGCCAGGACGGCCGGGCGAGGAGAGTAAAGAGGCGTTCGCGGTGGGACGGGAAGAGTTAAACCACCTCTGCGGCCAGCGTGGCCTGGTACACGGAGCAGCCTCCAACCCTCGGAGAACACCCGCTGCGACGGCCGGCGCGGGAGGTGAGGGTCGCGTTCCAGACCAGTTGTATTTCTGAAAATGAACACAAGGAAGTGCAGGCCGGCGCCGCGGCTCACTAGGCTAATCCTCCGCCTGCGGCGCCGGCACACCGGGTTCTAGTCCTGGTGAGGGCACCGGATTCTGTCCCGGGTGCCCCTCTTCCAGGCCAGCTCTCTGCTGTGGCCCGGGAGTGCAGTGGAGGATGGCCCAAGTGCTTGGGCCCTGCACCCCATGGGAGACCAGGAGAAGGACCTGGCTCCTGCCATCGGATCAGCATAGTGAGCCGGCTCCCTGCTAATGGCCTGGGACAAGCAGTGGAAGACGGCCCAGGTGTCCGGGCCCTGCCACCTGCCTGGGAGACCCAGAAAAAGCTCCTAGGTCGTGGCTTTAGCCGGGCTCAGCCTTGGCCGTTACAGCCGCCTGTGTTCCGGGCGCACGGACTCGCTTTACCCACTGCGCCACAGCGCCGGCCCCTCAGTCAGTCTGTTGAAAAAAGAAGCTGGCCAGCTTCTGGGAGGCTGTGTGTCCACCTCTGCCCCGGCGAGGTGCGCAGCGTCGTTTCTCCGGGGCCCGCCACCACCCCGGCACCCGGCACCCTGCTGGTGTGCGGCCTTGTTTCGCTGTGGCCTGGACATGAGCTTCCCTCACCACTGAGTTTTTTTTTTGGAGATTGAAAGGCAGAGAGCGAGAGAGAGCGAGAGCGAGTGAGCTTCCATCCACTGGCTCGCTCTCCAAACGCCTGCGGCAGCCGGGGCTGGGCCAGCCTGGAGCCAGGAGCCTGGAGCCTGGAGCTTGTCTGTGTCTCCCACGTCGTCCTGGGCGTGCGTTCAGGAAGCTGGATGGGGAGTGGACGGGAGGGCCGGAGCCGCTCGCCCCTCGCCCCCGCGCCCCTCACCCCTCGCCCCTCGCCCCTTGCCCCTCGCCCCCGCGCCCCCGTGAACTCCTGCGCCGGCCGCGGTTCTCCTTGCCGAGGTTTCTTCACGTCCTCTGTCCGTCTTCCGTTCGAGTTTTTCTCCCGTGTGCTGTGCACGTGCTCTGTCCGCCGCGCGGTGTGAATATTCCCCCCGTTCTCTGGCTCACCTCGCTCCTCCCCTGAAGGCCCGCTTGGCTGATTTCCGGTCCTGTGCTCTGGGGGACGAGTCTGAGGGTCGCCCAGCCCGCTGCCCGAGGCTCCGCCGTGTTTGCCACTTTGGTAGGGTGGTGGGACTCTGCTTCCTCCGTCCCCCCCGCGCCGTGGGCTTCCGAACATCGCCCCAGCCTTGCACCCACACGTAGCCGGGCTGCCCCCTTATCTGTGAGGGAACATTGCGAGACCCCCAGTGGACGCCTGGGCACATTCTGAGACCCCCAGTGGACGCCTGGGCACATTCCGAGACCCCCAGTGGGCGCCTGGGCACATTGCGAGACCCCCAGTGGACGCCTGGGCACATTGCGAGACCCCCAGTGGGCGCCTGGGCACATTCCGAGACCCCCAGTGGATGTCGGCACATTGCGAGACCCCCAGTGGACGCCTGCGCACATTGCGAGACCCCCAGTGGACACACTGGCCCTGTGCATCCCCCTGTTTTCCCCACACAAACCTGCTGTGGGGACATTCAGCTTACACATCAGCCACAGTGAGGGACCGTGGTGGCCACGGCTAGCGGGACCACGACGGGGCCCCTCCCTCCGTCTGGGGAGGCTGCAGGGGAGACAGCGGGCGATGGAGAGGGGAGGGAGTGTCAGGGAAGCTCCCAGGATAGGGCGGCTGAATAGGCCGGAGTCCCAGCGGGAGGACCGCGGGGGCGGGGACAGGGGGCTTCACTTCCTAAAGCGCGCCCTCCCCCCTTGCGTCTGCATTAGCCCTGGTGGAGGGCGGGCAGACCTCATCTTGGGATCAGGAGCAGAAACCGCAGGCGAGGGACAGGTGTGGGGTCCCACGGCTGGCGGTGTCAGGGCCAGGACCAGGGCCGGCCGTCTGAGCTCTGGTGGCGCCGGGGCCCTGAGGTCCTAGAGGTGGCGGGAGCCTCCCGGGGCCGAGCGTCCTGCACTGCACTGTGTGTGTCTTTGTCCCCTGCTGGTGGCAGACGTGAGCGACATCAGCCGCTTCCTCAACGCCTTCCACGAGCCGCACGCGGAGCTCATCCGGGCCGCGCGGCAGCTGCTGGCCGACGAGCAGGCCCCGCTGAGGCGGAAGCTCCTGGCCGACCTGCTGCACAGCGCCAGCCAGAACATCGCGGCCGAGGCCCGGGCCGAGGACCCGCCCTGGTTTGAAGGTGCGTGCGGGCTGGGCTTGGGGTGCTGGCGAGCGGGGGCCGGCAGCTCCTGGGTTCTGATTCAGGTCCCGCCGCTCCCCAGGGAAGAGCTGGCCTGGGACCCGGGGCACTGCTGGGGAGGGTCTGAGTCGGGTAGCCCAGGTGGGCGTCTCGCTGTCACTGTGACGGTTGTGGTTAAAGAGTGACATGTTAGGGCCCGGCGCCGGCATCCCATATGGGCACTGGGTTCTGTCCCGGTTGCCCCTCTTCAGGCCAGCTCTCTGCTGTGGCCAGGGAGTGCAGTGGAGGATGGCCCAGGTCCTTGGGTTCTGCACCCCATGGGAGACCAGGAGGAAGCTCCTGGCTTCGGATCAGCGCAGCGCCGGCTGTAGCGGCCATTTGGGGGGTGAACCAACGGAAGGAAGACCTTTCTCTCTGTTTGACTCTACCTGTCAAATAAACAAAAAATCTTAAAAAAAAAAAAAAAAAAAAAAGGACGCGCAGCCGTGCTTGTGCTGTTCGGAGGCCTTAATGCCTTCACGCTAGGTACAGCCAGCGCTGCTCTCCCTCTGTCCCCACCGAAGTGCGTTGGCGCCTGCCTCCTCCAGCCCCAGCCCCTCCCTCTGCTCTGCCTGAGTTTACTCCTCTCGGGGCGCCTGCCTG